CTGTTTGACGACCGGTGCATATTTTGTGGAATATTCATGGAGAGGAGTATAAAAGCATAGTGTTCCTCTCTTATATTTTTTCTTTTTTCTAGGAATGGGGGTGTACTCCACACACACTGCAGCTATGGATACGGGATTGATATTGAGAGTGTGGTTTGCTTATAGTTTGAAGGGGATTGGAGGAGAAGAGGGGATTAGTCGTGTAGAGACGAATTTCTATAGGATTTGGAGGATAGGGTGAATGAATGGGAGCTGATATTATTATTTAGGAGGATTTGTTGGCAGTTTTTCGAGGACTCATCACTCCTAATTTTATATTAATTGCTGCATCCTTTACTACTGCCGTTCTTACAGTCTTCGATTCTACATATCCCAAGAAGAGCATAAGTGTTCTCATCCTCCTAACCTAGACTCCACAATATATTTCCATCTCATCGTTGAAGGAAGCAAAATTTTGATTAGCAAGAAGGGTCACATCAATCGTCCTAGATGTCGCGGGTAACGATTGTTTCTATCCTATATTTTGTAAAGAGAAGAGAGATATCTATACGATTCGGAAATCTCGTGTGAAAGATAGGAAGAATATGGAGACAAGAAATGTATGGTATTCGAAGCGTATAGAGAGAGAGCAAGTATCAAAGAGAGATGATAGTGAGACTTACCATTTTGCACTACGTGGCCACATGGTGAGAGCTTTTGGCATCGAGGTATATAAACTTCTTGCTCTAAGTCATCAGGATCTCTAGATATAGATAGAATCGTTCTTGACAAGCTTCTGTCAGGTGGTGGGTAGGTTTGGGAATATCTGCCTACTTATGGTATTTGATCTGTCGAAGTTGAGAAACCTAAGGGGAACACTGGAGGAATTTTGTCGAGTTTGAACTTGGTTGTATCGGTCATTGTCGCGAAGGAGGCTCTTTTACTGACGGAATATATCCACTCTCTATTGTTGCCGTCATACTTCTTGCCGCAATCACAAGTTTCAATCTTGTTTTTATTATTCATTCGATGAGTATTTATTCACCTCATGGATAGCTTCACTATCTTTCCAATTCTGTCTTCGCCCCTCCTCTATTACGCCATATATATCGAGCAAATATTACTGTTCTGAGAACTCCACAATCCTTGGGTCCCTTCGGTGCTCGAAATAGTCTGTCTGACTTTTTATGCTTTGTTTTTTTGAAGGTAGGGTGGTTATATACTGTAAATTGTAATGTGATTAAGAGTCAGAAATTTGAATGGGCTTGTGAAGTTACAGTTGATGGCGTAGTGTAGTCAGCAAATGTTAAGGAATGAGCGTAAAAAGGAAAGAAGGAGGGGCTAGGACGATCCGAGAAGGATTTTCCTGGGTTTGAGTATAAAGGAACAAGTTAGAAGATAGATATTTTTCTATGAAAACTAGATGATGTTAAAAGTATAACAATTTAGGGGTAGAGTTCGCACTTAAGAGTCAGTGAGTGTACCAGAAAATTTACAGGTTTCCTGTGACCGTCTGGTCACGATTCGAGCCTCATTTTTGTTATCGAAAAGACATTAATTAATGTAAGAGTTATCGAACTTACTTATCGCACCCTATAAATTTTGTGATAAAATCCCTACAAAAATAATGTTTTTGTATATAATTAAAAAAGTTGATAACTTTTTAAATTTAAGGAATTTCATTTTCAAAACTTTAAAATAAGTAATTAATACTATTCTTTATTGAAAAAAAAAAAAACATATTTTATTTTTAATTATTTTTATTTATATAAAATTGAAGTTGAAAAAATTGAATTTTTTTAATTTATAATACTTTTCTTATATGAAATAAACAATTTTTTTTAGAAAATTCATGATTCTTATCTTTAATAACTTATAACTTTATAAATAAAATAGCTTTTTATATATATAACTAAATTAATTCTAAATCAATCTTGAATTCTTTTTATCATTTTATGTAAAGTTTTAGTAAAGAAATAAGGTTCTTAAAAGCTGAAAAATCAATGGTTTTAGCGAGGAAATCGAAATCTGTACGGTGAGGAGGTTCTAGAACTCTTATATGAAATTAATAAGCTTATGCATACGAAGAAAACATAGGGCAACAGTTACTTGTACCCTAGCTTATGCTAGATACTCTATGTGTATAAATACCAACACTCTGTTACATCTATCGATTTATTGTTAGGGGATTAAACGGGGAAAGAGATACTAGGGGATGTAAGAAAGAGATGGAAGAGATCTGTCTGTTGTGACTAGGGTTTGACGGTTTGGTAGATAGTATGTACCATGATCTTGATAAATGTAACTTATCAGTTTTGTCGTCACTTCTGTCATGATACCCAATGCTTACATTGTCAACTCAATCATGATTACTCGTTCTTTACTGCCATTAAATTTGTACAATCACAACGAACTCATCTTTTCATGCTAGGCCCAAAGCCTCAGTCCTTACGTCTGGAATTACTTTCCAGATATCAGAAGTCTTTACTCTCTCCATCTCATTCCATCGAAGATACCCGAAAGCTTTGAGCTACAAATATTAATCCGTTACTTTTTTCGATCGTCTCCATTTTTATATAGTCGAGATATCTAGATTATTTGATCTGGTATAGAGCTATCGTGTACCCTATTCTTTAGAAAGTTTCTCATGGTGATCCATCACAGTTAGACGATCATTCACTCGTCACACTTTGTTTACTACGGCTTAAGCAACTATTTAACCCTCGTCTCAGTTCCAAAATCAATGTAAGAATCTATTGTAGCAAATTCCCAAAAGAACTAAGGTCTTACATTTCGGTAAGCCCTGGCCCAAGACATAGCATCCCAGAAGGTCTCCTTGAATTTTTGATATTACTACACGCACTTATTCGAAAGGACGAAACGAAACTCAATATTGTCACTTCTGCACTATCGTCACCAAAAAGCCCTAATTTCATTGTTAGCATTACCACTACCATCTCCACTATAAGATTATCCTTCGTTCCTCTCTCGAATTTCATTCCGTCAACAAAGCTAAGCCCTAGCACCCCATTCCATATCGAGAAACCTTCCTTCGGATTGGAGATTATCTTTGCCATTGTCCGGGTTGCTTAGTAGCTCTTCGTTCTTGCATTCTCATCATCTTACCCCTTCAATATCTTATATAGTTAAAACAATCGATCTCAGCTGAAACCTACGAAAGTGTCAGTCACTAGCTACCGGTCACGCTTTCACAGTATGCCTTGTATTCACCCTTTCGAACATCGAAAAGGGCCCGAGTCTCTTCTACATCTTTGCTGACATTTACAAGAAATCTGAGCGCTAAGGTATATTGAGAAATATCTAAGCTGATGCAAGCACTCATAACATAACATAGTCGCTGCTGTGTTTTGAAGTCTATGGTTGCTGTAATGTAACTCCATTACAAGAGTCTATCTTATTCTCACCGGCCGAACCATATACTTCACATCCCGTTTTATACCTAAGATAGATCTATGATATATCACATCAATAAGCAAGACTTTCGGAAATCCCAGCGAGTAATTGAAAACTAACAAACATTGTAACTTCACAAATCGAGAACGAATAGACTAGAGAATATACTTTCTCGATTCGTACATACCGTTAAATAAAATATCCCGGCTAGAACATTACTACGATAAAAGCTGTTCACTCGAAAATTCAACAGTAGGGATCTCAATCAACGATATTGAAACCGAGTAAATAATCAACGATATCGATCATCATACTGTAAGACAATGAAACGCAAACAAAATCAAAACCATTCAAAACTCAACGCCTGCCACTCTAGATACTACCTCGACAAACTCTCCTGCTTCAATTTCTACCTAGCTCGATAACATACTAAATTTTTCTCTCCAACCTGCAAAGATATCCCACAACATCTTCAGAGGTATTGTATGAACATTGATCATTAGGATCTAGTGAATAGCTTCAATTCATTAGCTACTGTATTGCAGTCGTTAGCGAATGCGGAATACAGTAGCCCTAAGCGAAAGCAGAAGAGACTAGCTCTTCTTGTAGCGTCTATATAAGGCCTACAACTTCCTGTACTTAGCTAGCTCTTTAGACAGAATACAATATAGACATTTAGGACCTACGAATACCGTGGGTGCTACGTCTTCCGTATCCTTCTCGAACCAACAGGTATCGAATTTCCCATCTGCCGAGATCACTACTCAAGATGATAGATTTACACTCTCCCGAACTCACTCTCACCAATCCCTCTCATCTCCTTCACTAATCAACCAATTAACACAATCAATCACACATGAGCATTAGAAACTAGCGACTTCGAAACATGTATGCGAGAATCAATGCGCACCTCGCGAGTGTCTCTCTCTTCCTGAATCCAGTGTTAAAGATTTGAATGGAACGCTGGATCGGGATAAAACAATCAAAAGTATGAGATACATGAACATTGCAACAATGCATAAGTAAACACAACCTTACCATACTGACAATGAATCCTCGTCCACAAACCTCCAAAACAACAATAACAAGAAGAATAACAACAGTACAATAATCTACACCAACACCAACGCTCCCCCCAAAACAGCAAAAAGTCCACTCCGCCATTGAAATTCCGCTCTTTCCCTTGCGAAAAAAAGGAAAATATCCTTTATTTCTGTTTTCTCGCGTGCAATCCTAAACGGACTCTGATTCGCACCTTGGACCCCTTTCTAGGTATTGTTCAAAACATAATATGGAAAGAAACCTGTACAAGATTCGATATCAATTTATACTTCCTCGCCCTACTCCCCGAGTCACTCAGATCCTTTATTTCCCCTTCCCCCACCCCCCAACAGTATCACTCATTCATTCACTTATCACCCATCACTTATCACCCATCACTTATCACCCATCACTTATCACCCCATCCCCACCTAGAAACCTCTCAACCACTTTTAATCAGACAGACAGACTGACTATCACCGACAGCAAAATCCCTTCCTTAAAGTAGCAAAGTAAAAACATAATAATTAAATTCTTATTTACCAATCCGTCCTCCCAAGAATATAAACAAAGTTACAACAACAACTAATCATAAACCCTTCTTCCCTTGATTTCCCATCATAAAAGCCGCTGCAAAAAGGTATAATACCGCTTAGCGCATCGTCTCAATCATAAAATAACAAGAAGCGCGCTAAAAATATGTACAAACATGCGAGGATGTTGGATTTCCGAGTTTGGCGTGTCCGGTTGGTGGAACTTGGTGGCTCTGTTTACCGAGTGGTATTTGATCGCAGAGTACACGTGCCTTTTCGTATAATCACGACCTGTGAATTAGATGTGCTTCTTTTCCCCCACAGCTCCCTCCAGGTTTCAGCATCGAATCGAATCGATTGTTCTCGGGATATACCCCGCACATGCCGCTTCTGAATTAATCTCACCCCCCAAAACTCTAAATCTTGACTTTGAATTCAAATCTTAATTTCACTCCTCATATCATTACCTGCGGAAACGACTCCCGTCCATCTCATGCACCGTTCTTGGCTGTTCCATCTCGCTCGGCTGTGGTGCATAATAACCCTTCTTATCCGCTATCCCGATACCCCCTGCCTCGCCCAAGTTTCCCCTAGGGTATCCCGTTCCAATTTCACTCGGACCATACTCTCCATGCCCAGCCATTCGGTGTTGGTTCTGCATATAAGCTCCTTCTGTAGGCTGATATCCTTGTGAATTCTGATTTGGATTTTGATATTCTTGGCCGGGAGCTCCCGCTTCATTCTGAGGAAGTTGATTCGCCTGTTGCTTTGACGCACGTCTTTTTCTCCATAAAAACCACCCAAGAGCAGCGATAGCGAGGATACCACAGGGAATAGCGATTCCGGCACCAATGGCGACAGCGTGATTAGAAGAAGAAGATGACGAGGTTGCGGAAGGGAGAGGGGCAGTGGATGTTTGGGAGGCGGCTGACTCGGAGGTTGCTACTGTGCTTGAACTAGATGTGGTGGTTGTTGATATCGATGAAGTGGTGGCGGAAGATGTAGCAGATGTAGAAGACGCAGAAGATGTGGATGGTGAAGATGAAGAAGATGAAAAGGTGTAGTCGAGGGGAACTTGAGCGAGGAGTTTTGCTACGGGCGAGATGTTGAATATATCTGAGTCATTATCGCAACAGGCAAAACTTCCTACACCATTGGCGCCTGTATCACAACAACTTTCTTGGGTCAGTATCGAACAATCCAAATTTGTTTGATTGGTAGAACATACTATTCTGTTGTCGATGTTATAGCTCCATTACAAAATCTTATACCAGCAGTTGAACTTCTAGCATCTGAGAATTGGTTAGTATTCCCAGCCCACCAACGTAACTTATGTAACTTACAGCTATTACATTGATTTAAACAAGCTGGATCTTGCCATGTAGGATCTGTACATCCAACTCTTAAATAATCTTGGACATCGCCATTTGCTTGTTGACAAACACCATTTGAAAAACATATAGCACCAGCTGCGCAACATGAACTATGACCTGTTGTTGAATTATCACATCTATACCCTGCATTGGCATTATGTTGTCCATTTATAACATAACATGTTGTTGGTGTATCGGTTGTTGCAGCTGATACTAATAAAGGTAAAGAAAATGAACGAAACGATAAAAACTGTTTTCTTATTGACATTCGTGAAGCCATTATTTGTGTAAAGAATGTAGTAATATGCCAATATAATTGGAGGGAAGAATTTAAAAAGTTAATGATGGGTAAGTAAGGATGATATGAGTGTAGCACAGATCAGAATTAACCAAGATGTGGATATCTAGTACTGTACAATGTGAGAAAGTCTAGAAAGATTTGATCTGATAAACCAGCTTCTGAATTTACTAGTCCAAGAAGTGATATGAAAATCAAATAGTTCTTAGACTATGAACGAACGTAAGAGGATTGGAAAACGAGAGAATGAATGAAGAGCACGAGAACAAATTATCAACCAGGTCTCAAGGAATCGCTCAGTTTAGGAATAGCTGAAGGAGTCAACACAGCTTACCTTCCCATGAGTCCAAACCAACCTAGGGATTGTACGTAAAGGATTTATATGGGTCTCATATCCATAGCCCTGTCAGATATATTCCCCGTTTTCCCCAAGAGATACAACATGGTAGGTTGAGCCCCCATCATCCCTTGAATGAACATGAAAACCAACATGGATCCCGAGAAATATCCAAGCCAAATCTAGTCGCCGACTGGAAGAAAAGCATGGCGGTTAAAGGAGATTCTAGAAACTTATGAAAATGAGATTCCAATTTTCGCGGCATACATCGTACAGTGAAAATGCAATGAAAACGAAAGTATTTTTATCTAACAGGAGGATTTGATTGCGACGTCTTCTCTATAACGTTAAGCGCGCTCAACTGGAAATTCAAGACTGATAAGAAAAGAGTATCACGAATATGAAACACGAAAGGGATCTTGCCTGGAAAGTGGTGGACCTCCAGCATAATTTTCCTTTCAGACCTTCCGTCGGACAATGAAATAATGGAGAAGAGAAGCGAAATTTGATGAAGGGGTGGATAAGAATTGAAGCAATGTCGAAAGCAGTCTGGCAATGAAGATCAGGATGGTAAGCGAATCCGATTAAAAAATAATACTACTACCCGACCACGTTCATACAATGGAGTTAAAATAAACTACCAACAACCACCAACAAATGATGAGATCTTTCAAACGCGAATGTCTTTAGAATCATACCTTGATAGGGATATGAAAACGCAAACTCAGGATACTATATCAATAGATACCTCCTCGGATTCACATATATACCACAATTTTGAACCCTTTGTTCTTCTTGAACATCCTGTCTAATCTATCTCACCCATTCCAATCATACAGTGTAATTCATCATGCAAATATACTATCAATATCATATAATCTACCTGACCTGCCATCCCCTAATCTCCTCCAAATTCCCAGCTCGCTTCAATTGACCTTACCCATTTCCTTCACCACATACATAAGGTTACCGCGCCCTAGAATATCCAGCCCCCAATCGAATCTCAAACCTGCATGAAGATCCAGAGTATGAGACGAACAACCTCAAAAATAACCTCAAATGCAGCGATTATTCCTCGTGCTACGGTTACATTTCGTGTGGTGAGTACCCGAGTGTATGATTTTTATTATATTATGAGTTAGCGATTTTCTTTTTTTTCTCCTCGTGTTTCTTGGTTTGATCCTATGTTTCAGAAATCGGGAATGGATACATGGAAGTTCATATCTCCATTATCGAAGTGAATGAACAGAAATTGTTCGGAATTACATTCCCACCTTTATGGAATATCGCGTGGGAGAAACTACTATACACTATCACCAAGACCCCGCTGGAGTTCTGAAATCAGTAACATAACATAAAACTGAAAGATAGATCTACAAAAAGTCCCCCTCACAAATCCCTACCGAGAAACCCAAGAAACCCAAGAAACCAATCTCCAGCAAGCTGCAGCATATTCACATGACACGAATACATAGCCTGCACAGCACACCACAGGTATATATAGATGTACTCCGTAAGCTTACATTTTGTGTCTCCACCGCTTACTCACTCACTCACTCTCTCACTCACTCTCTCACTCACTCTCTCACTCACTCTCTCACTCACTCTCAATCGACGTACCGGTACTCAAGAATCTATCCAAGAATTCCAAGTAAAAAGCATATTTCCCATGATGACGTCTCTAAACCAAATAAAAGTACCAATCTAGATATTCGGCGGTACCATCAAATTTCTGGGATCATATCTATATGAACATATTGACAAAGTATATAGCGTACAAGTATATCCTCTCAAATTCCATACATTCACTATTATCACTTGAATGATAAATACTAGAAATAGTACTTTTTTATATATTACTATCAAAAATATCAAAAATATCAAAAATGACATTTTTTAAAGTAGTACTTTTAATATTTTTGTCCTAAATACTTTTCAAGAAAATAACATTTTGTTCTAAAATTTAACTTCTTAATAAATATTAATCTAATTTAAAAAATAAAGAAAATACTACTCTAATCTCAATAATATATTATCATTTAATTTTTTTATCTTATAATTCTAATATAGAGAATATGATTTAAAATTTAGTTTTAATAATAAATTAAAAAAATCTCGTATCGAATATAACTTTAATAATTTTAATAAAATACTTTAATTTCATTAATCTATTTAATAAAGAAATATTTCTTTTGAAGTCAAATTAATTTTAAAACTAATCTAGAATATTTAACTTTTAATTTCAAGATTAAAGTGTTAAAAAAATATAGAATTTATCTTTAATTATTTTTATTTATAAATTATATAAACTTAAAATTAAAAATTAAAAAAATTGAAATTTTCTAACTTATAATACTTTTTCTACAAAAATCAATAACTTTTTTAGAAATTTTTTTATTTTATTTTTAATACTTTATAACTTTATAAAAAAACATTTAAAGATAAACTAACTTTTTATATATATAAATATTCAAAATAATTCTAAGTCGATTTTGAATTCTTTAGATTATTTTATATAAAGTTTTAGTAAAAAAATAGGGGGATTAAAAGCTGAAAATTAATGGGTTTCGAAATCTATACGATGAGGAGGTTCCAGAACTCTTATTATTTCTAGTATTTATCGTTACTTGAAAGATGTCTCCCCTCCTCCTTCTACCGCCGCCCTATCTCACTATCCGCCCATTCCATCATCCTATCAAACCCAAACCCATTCCGTCCCACCAAAACCTAGACTCCAAGCCAACCCTCAAAAGTCCCAACTATCTCCTCTTCTCCTCTTCTCCTCTTCTCCACACACAACCCTACCATCCACCCACCCATCCATCCATCCATCCATCCATCCATCCCACAAACCAAATCGCAATATCTTCACACCACGCGCAACTTTCCCATCATAATTATACTTTCTCCAAATCCCCAACCCCCAATCCCCAATCCCCAGGGAAACCTAGAGTGCTCTGGATTTCACGAGTGGCTATACACATTGTATATCGCCCAATGACAACCTTGCCTTTTCTACATAGAGCTAGATAGATATCAATATACATGTCTCCCAACCACCAACCAGATACAGTAAACAGTTGCACAATCCCACAACCATACAATCGCACAATAGACGCAATGGGATGAGATATTCCTATCATTCAATTCTATCCGGGCGAGACACATATAAATATCAATATGAAACACATATCACCACTCTTAACAAAATCACTCGCAACAGCACGAGGAATGGATATAGTTTCAATGATAAATTCATAAAGCAGGTGTAAAGAAATGTGTTCTCATCGTCATCATTCCCCTGCTAGCAATGACTTATACAATAACTAGGAAACGATCACTACCACTACCTACAACATGATCCTCATCCATAACATAAAATCACAAGGAATCAAAGGTAATACAGGATTTTGATTTCATTTTGAGCAAGAAAGAGCAAGATTTTACCAGTGAGCCTCCAAGAATTCGAGCTAATCTCATCCATGCACAATTTTCATGACCCTAGTGTCCGAATCCGAGTTGTAGAACATAATTGACTGTCCTGGGAAATCATACAATGTTCTCATGCGACGTTCTTGTCCAACCATTCTTCCCATTGGTCGGCAGTAAAGGAGCTGCTGATTGAGTTTTCTACAACTCCGTCGAACTAGAATTAAATTAGTACATGTTGTCCAACATACTTTCTTTTCCCGTTTCTCTAAGCTCTAAGCTCAAACCACAAACTCCCAAAAACGACATTGCCCGAAGGAAAAATAATAATACTCACAACAACCGTCGGTGTAACATGAATTCCCACTAATCTATTCATCTTGACCAACACCTTAAGTTGATTCGTAACACCATTTCCAGAATTCATACTTCCATCTGGACCTGGCTTGTTATCAATCTTAAGCAGGTCATACATTTTCTCCTCATCGATTCCTGCTTCTCCTCCAATCTTTGCGAGACGTTTGTATGTTGCATTACGTGTTTCATTAACGACGTTTGTGTCAAAGAAATCCTTTTGTTGTTTGAAGAGGGAGGCGGAGAAAGGATAGAACTTTTCGGGTGAGAGGGTTAGGACTAAGTGGAATGGGTTAGTTATTGGAAGGGGCATTTGGGTAGGAAGGTGAAAAGATAAAGCATACCAGCAACACCGGCTTCGTGGACTAAGGTACTACTTGGATGCCATGGCTGAATTTGTTGACGAAAGATAATTTGGACTTTTGATGCGTATTTTTCTCTGATCAAGGGAAATACAGAAGTGTAGACGGTGTTGAACATTTTGGCCGAGAACTATGAAGGGGAGAAGAGTTAGTCTATAATTTGAGATTGGTTGTCAGAGAATTTTCAAGGCAAAACAGAGGGTCTTGACGAGAGAAGGTTGGGAATAGAAGAAAAGATAGAGAGGGCAAGACAGATATTCGATATAAGAGTGATCAATGAGTAGAACTCCATTCCACAGAGATGGCCTACAACACCCTCGATTCGAATCCACTCTCATCTCCCTAGTCCACGACAGTGACCAGCGTAAGTGATTCACCACTGGATAAATCGACTGCCCTCAAGTCGAAAAAACACAATAGGCCGCATAGAAGCTATCATATCGACAGGCAGATATAGGCTGAATAGATGGTGCAAAGAAGGAAGTGAGGCTCTGGGAAGACAGAAAAAACATCGAGGAGATGGTTAAAGTATCAAAGGACACATCTCCGTTCAGTTTAACTCAGCCAAGCTTCAGTTCACTTAGAAGAATGACACACCACCTCAACCTCACCCTCAAAGCCTCATCCCATCCCATACCATCCCACCACTCCCACCTCAACCCAAAAACACCCAAACCCATACCTCCACCTTAGAAAAAAAAAGAGAGAAAAACTCACCGGACAAACATAATCCAAATACAATTCCAACGTATGCAACGCCTGCGCCGGAGCCCCCGCCGCCAAGAATCTCTGACCTGCGAATTTAGGTGGGAGAGCCATATTTTGTTCCTTTTCTGCTGCGTTGTTTACTGGTATGTGTAGTGCGAACTATGAACTATGAACTATGACTTGTGAACTCTGAATCGTGTCAATTAGAAGGTACGTAGGAGGGGAGAGGAGGGGGAATAGAAGATTATTGATGTAGTGTAGATAGGTCGAGTCGAGATGATGTGACGTGACGTTGACATGGAATGAATGTGGGGTAGGTAATTATCCTTCGTTCCTTCCTTCCTTCTTGTTGAGATAAGATAAGTACGAGGTAAGTGAGTCTTTAAATACCCAAGTTACATACATATTATATAACTTACTCCTACTAGTTCACAGGAAGTTAAGATAATATTAGTAGGTAGCTAGGTAGCTTATATATATATATATAATATATAATAGATACTATAACTTATAGGTATCTCATCATTCCTTCCTTTCTTCCCCAGAATCAAGAGGTGAGCGAGTTGAAGATGGAGTAGGAGGTAGGTACTCTGTATGATCATTTAAAGGAGTATTAGACATGGGATTAAGATATATACCTAGCTATAGATATATATACCACATGCAGAAATTATTTTGGGTAAACTATCATACCAACCAATACCTCAGTCCCAGGAACTCATGTACGCAAAGTGAAAGGGAGGAAGGGAAGTCTTTCCGGATACAGAGATCTAGATGTGAATCTACATAATAGGCAGATATATCATAGTATATCATAGAAAAACCTTCAGATGCCAATGAATAGGTACCTAGATGAGGATTGATCGTTAAGACCACCTACTCGAACCTGCCCCCAGCTAATCCTTAACGACTCCTATTACGGATCATCACAGGAGTACGAACCAAACCCTTTGTTCTCTACAGTCATCACGACTATCGTGAAACACAGAGTGACATATTATCCTCGTCCACGCTCTATAGCAGAGATTCTCCAGTGTATGAGCCAACCCATCTTCCCCAAATAGAACTGGGTATCAACATCCTCCATTTCATTAGAAAACTAAAAACTAAATGCGTATGTACTTAAGAAATCATGTACAGCCTGCTCATATATGGCCTTCAATCCATATCGATAGCCAAAAAGGCTGATTATGTATATCCTAGTCAAGCTAAACGCCGCTCTCCCCCTCTCTCAATGTAAGATGACAAAATGTTGCTCTATCTCGTCCTTATTAGTCAACTCCTATTCGAGGCCCGACTCAAGAGAATAGGAATTCCTTGAGCACAGGCGAGCTCGTAAATTCAGGATTGAGTAATATACAACTATAGTTTCCCATTGTTAGCCAGTTGAACTCGTGTATCTCTCATGCTCTTCCCTATACACTCCCACCCTCCCGTCTCCTCCACACATTCTCCTCTAGGCCAGGAAAGAGACAATTATACCACTCACTTAAGAAAATACTGTAAACCACTCCTCCTATTTTCCAAAAACTTTGGTCGAAACTTCGATATAACACTTTTCCTTGGTAATTCTGGTATTGTGCCCGCCGAATTAGGAAATGTGCGAAGAAGTTTCGTTCGTAGATCTGCAAATTCGCTGTAGCGTTTCCGGATGATTATTGGAGTTCCCTATTTCCATATCTCTATTAGCATTGATCACAATCCCCATTCACGTTATCTAGCAACAAGTTCGGAGTTGAACAAGACTGATAGATAGCAAGATGAGAAAGGAGGGAATGCGAGAGCACACAAACCTCCAAAGTATCAACCTTCACATTCCAGACCACAAATGCGCCAATTCCCCCTCCTATTCCTAGTCCCTTCCCTAGTCCCTTCCCCGCAATTCCTCCTATCCCACCAATTCCACTCCCATTCACAACGACATAATCTTCAATCACTACACTTCTCGCCCAACAAGCTTCATTTTTCCCCCTTTCATTTATATTTGTATCGTCCTCATCCCCATCCGCGGTATTATCCTGCAGAGTGATCCCGCTTGAACGAATCGAATCTATTGAGATGTGGGAAATAGAGCGTGTGTGCGATTGTTGCCAGTAAGGAGGGGAGATTGTTGAACTGGGCGAGATGATAGTTGGAGAGGTGATGGGAGATTCGTTGGCATTTGGATCTGAGCTTTGTGCGGCTGGAGGAGAGGTATTGGTGACGATTTGATTCGAAGGTTTAGTAGAGGAGGTTGGTGAGGGATTAGAATTAGGATTAGGATTAGGATTAGGATTAGGATTAGGATTATTTAATGGATTGCCATTGCTAGAATGAGGAGGAGTAATGGACTCCATCCATCAATATTGAAATGGCAGGGCCACTATGTGCGTTCCCGCTTTACTTATGCTTGTGTCACTGTGATAGTAATTTTCTAGTGTAATAAATTTGTATGTCGAACCAAAGATTTAAGAATACGAGTGGCCAAAGAATGATGTTGACTTTGAGAATTATAGACCAAAGAATATACCGGAGGCTTCCTGGGCCGACCCGACCAAGAGCATTCTTCTTATTAGTGAGAGGAGCCGAGAGATGATCATTTTACGGCTGGATCCTTGTTTCCCCAACCCAACTCTAAACTAAAGAGGCAACGAAGTAAAGAAGAAAGGTTCTTGTCGCTTTGTTCTTGGAGAGGACTTGGCGAGACAGGGCAGTCTACGTTCACGATATGTTGGATTGTGGCGATGCTAGAAAGAAGAAGTTGTTGACGATTGAGATTATTGGATTATTATGTTATTAGTGTTATTAGGGAGATGGAGGAGGCGATACCCCGGCCAAGATATTTGATTTATAATAATAAGTCTTCAGATAAGTTACGATCTATTCCTATCCATAAATACGATGAATACGAAATATACGAATCAACCAAACACACATCATGCTTGATAGCAGCACCGGTAATGATAACCATCTCAACCCAAATTAATAATAACGATAAAACAAGAAGAAGAAAATCCCATCGAGACATCTGACCTAATCGTCTGTTACTTTGTTGGCTCGAACAGTCAGTAGTCAGACCACCTTCAATATAAGATATATATGACATGAAATACCTAGTAACACTAGATGGTCCGTCGGGTCTGACAGATACTGCACGGAGTACTGTACCTCGATAGAGTTCCAAGTCAAGTGAGGAGAAGCTTGAGGTATGAGATTAGTGTCAGTGGGGAGCCGCTCTGAGCGATTTGATATCAAAGGTTACTCCGACGTACTAGTACGACTCTACTAGTACATCTCCATTCTTGAGACGTTACTGGCAAAGCAAGATGCGGGACTAGGATTTGATGCGTACAACATAATGATCAACTGGATACTCGTACTGTACCGTAGCGGAATTTCGGGATAAAGGATAGAAAGGGTGGCTGGAGGAAGTCCGATGAGAATCATGAGAGGGAGTGCGTGAGTGAGGGAGGGAGAATCACTGGTTGAAGTGTATTCTACCAAGGAAGAAAGAAGAAAGTAAGTATTTTTACGGAGGCGGGGAGAGGATGGATTCAACGGATCATCCGTGTTGTGTCATCTGTGATATTGAATGGAGGTTAGCGAATGAATGAATGAATGTATTATCTACAAGATTTACCCAGTAGTATCCCACCTAGATTGACATAGATGAAAGATCAACGGATATCTGGGTAGATGGTCATATGATACAGAAGTCTAGGTCTACGTAGGATGTATATGTATGTATGTATGTAGGTATTCCGTAGACAAATGAATGGATAGATATCTACCTGCTCGAATAAAGGATATAAATAGATGAAGAGAGCGTTTACCATTTGTTGTATAGATCATGAAGAATGGGGTGAAGGAAAGAGGAAGAAGTGATGAGAATCCAACGAGATGTGATCTAGAGAGGCGAATAGTCTCAATATCTACCTGATATCTTGATCACGCACAATCTCACTCTTTTAGTTTAGTCAATAGGAAGAGTACATATATATATAGATATAGATATATACATATCTACATACCTACATATATAGATATATAGATATATACATACATATCTACATACCTACCTACATAGATGCATGATATCCCAATTCCCAGGTAAGGTGACTTCTGAAGATAGTAACATGGAACCTGAAAACTTTCGGAAAGAAAAGTTGTGCATCTGAGCTAGCTAGGGAGGGAGCTATCGGAGCTAATCTCCATCAAGTTAGCCGGCATCTTCCATACCGCCGATAGATGTACGCTAACGAAGACATGTCTTGATGCTCAAAAGAATAATTGTTAGTGTTTCATGGCATTTTATCGCATTTTATCGCATTTTCCTATAATCCCGTGGGATTTATCCCATTTCATGCATTTAATAGGTTCATATTTCAGAATCTAACCTAAATCAAGCTTAATCCCCCATTACGGGTATTCCATACTAGCTTAATCTTGCTGCAGATGGAGGCGCCTTTGGATGAGTTGAGTTGGGGGAGGGAAAGGGCTCACCAGATGATATTGAAATGGAATTTATTAAAACATTCATCTTCTCCTCTTTCTCCTCCATCTCCATCTTCCATCTACCATCTACCGTACTCCTTTTCACTTGATAATATCCTCCTCTCGAAATCACATTCGCTTTTTGCTTTCATAACATTATTGATAATCAAGAATTCATTCACTCATCCCTCTTCTCTCCATAACACACATACCATTCCGGTCAACCCATTTTCTGCAAGGTAAATAAACATTCATTGATTCCTCGTTACATTCCAATCTGGCAAACGAAAACACTCCCGCCACCACTTTTAAACTTGAGCAACATCTCATTTCGTCAAGGAAGATCTTGAAAGATGGAAAACTGACCTTGGATGTTCACCGATAGTTTATTCGAGAATACGATTGTCCAAGGCGAAAAGCTTCGACTTCAATATCAACCTTCTACCTCAACTTAACTCACCATCAAATCATTCAAAATGCGTCTCTCCACAACTGTCGTTGCTACAGCTCTTGTTAGCTTTGCCACTGCTCAATATACCATTGATCCAGACAGTGTTGCATTGGCTACTCGTAGTAAGTCTTCCTCCTCCTCCTCCTTACGGTCCTGTAACCTAGAAATACTAACCCTCCACTCTTAGAAAGCTGGTGTCAATCACAAACACAAACATGTCCATCACTTTGCTTGCAAAATGGTGCCGGTAGCTCCACCACCACTACCAACACTTGTGATCCCGTAAGTATATACATTCCCACTACTATTTTCCCCTTCTCCAAGCTCGAAAGTTAATCCAACTAACTCAAAATTAGGATACCCTCGACTATGCATGCATTTGCGGCAATGGTCTCTCTCCAAACGCATCCGAATACTCCTTAACCCTCCCATACTTCATCTGTACCCAATACGCCACCAATTGCGTCAATGCATGTAACGGAGTCAACACCTGTCAAGCAGCATGCCGAGATGATAATCCATGTGGAGCCCAAAACCCAACCCGTGTCAATACCACCTCTAGTACCACTCAAAGCGCAACTGGTACAGCAGGAGCTTCCAGCACAAACGGCGTTGCATATACAGGATTGGGTGGATCATCTGCAACATCTACTCCTAAGAGTGGTGCTCAGATGACTGTGGATTTCGGAAAATCATATGGCTTGGCAGTTGTTTTTACAGGTCTCTTTGCGGGGTTTGCTTTGGTAATGTAAATTGACCGCTTCTTTGATGGTTGGAGATGGTGATGGTGAAGTGGGTTCATGGGTCGGGTTGTTTCGATTGTGAGATATGGCTTCATATCATATCATCTCATATCGTATGATCATTGATATTGATATCAATGATCCCCATCGCATAACGAAACATTCTCGACCTTGGTACCTCGGAGTTTTTGAAACTTTAGCGATCATTTAAGTGTGCGTTTTGTTTTCGGCTTCCTCTTTTTCCTACTTTGAGGAATTTTAGCGTCGAGTTGGTTTTTGCTTCTTGCACATACATATTACAATGTCTGACATCCTGGATACAAACATGGATGAGCTTAATGGAGAGAGCTTTAGCAAGATTACTTGCTCGAGTGAATAGCGAAGTTCAGGTTGGGATTAATATGGTAATGAAGGGGATTGTTGAAAAGCGTTGAAGGAAGGGTCTAGATCTTTTAGATTTAGATAAAACGAGCTATACTTCTGGCTACGAAATAGAAGCAAAACTTTTTAACCATACCTACTGTTCCATGACTCGATGTGATATTGTTGAGATGTAGCGGTAATCTTGAAGCAATCTATTTCGACTTCATTTGAAACTGCGCAGTGTAGGTAGTGTGATGTAGATGGAATAGGTATGTTTCGTTGTGTTAACCATCCATGAATGTTATGTACTTGGTACAGTGTAGATGAGATGAGAAGAAAGAAAAAAGACATGCATGATATTTATTATTTGCGATATGAGTACCGATGGTTGAATTTGTAATTGAAAGATGTGATTGGCTCGCAGGTAGACCTATTAGGAAGACCTACTAGGGAGATCTAGACGGAAAAAGAAGCAGGGAAACGGCGGTCGATCGGGTCAGTACCTTTTAACTCGTGCCCCTATTTCTTGATTTGATGGTAGGTGGGCTGGCTGGTGGGTATGGATGGCTAGATGCAGATGGAGATGGATATTGGTAGGTACAGATAGAGACTAGAGTGAGTTACGGGTAGATAAATGCAATTGATGTTTTGACATGTGGAGAAGGAAAGAAGGAAAGAATGAGAATGAAAAAAGGAAAGAATAAGAATGAGAGAAGGAAAGAATCAGAGAAGGAAAGGTATTGTTGGGTGATGATGTTTAGAAAGATGGATAGTAGGGAAGGATAGGAGGAGGGAGGAGAAGGGGAAAGGGAGTTGAATTGATTGAGTGGGAATTTAGTTTTAATTTGAGAAGTGTATTTTATGATATGGTATGGTATGTATTATATGTATGTATGATGATATATTATAGGTAAGTAAGTAGGTGAGTAGATAGATAGATGATAGATAGATATATATATATTCATATGATCTCAATCTAGACTCTAAAAGGACTACGACGAAAGACTATATATTAAGAGTTGAGGCCCCGGCTTATCGCACACTATACTTTTTTAAACCTCAATTTTTAAAATTTAATAATATATTAATAATACAATATTATTATATAAAATTTGAATATTATATTAATAAATAATAGTTAATTCTTATATTTAAATTATGTTTTTTGAGCTGATAGATCAATCTCTTAATATATGACCTGAAATCTAAAGAATCTATTCTCTTCTAAAAAACTTATAATTTATATTTCAATTCTTTTACAAAAATAAATACAAATAGTAGCTTTTTCGTTTATATTTTATTTATTACTATATCTTCTTAATTGAATTGAGATTTGAAAAGAAGAATAATTAATTAAAACTTTATATAACTTTACTATGTTTTTAATTAAGCTTTTTAAGTATATTCTAAATATATTTTAGAATTGTTTTTTTATAAAGATATATTTAGACTTTAGTTTATTAAATAAAGAAAATATACTAAACTCAAGCATTTATTATAGATATATTCAAAAGATAATGTCTTTATTATTCTTAAACCTTTTAGAAAAGATTAATAAAGATTTATAATTCCAGTCGGTTATATTCTATATTATTAATACTCTTTTTAGTCAATTTATTAATTTAATATTATTCATGTATTTCTTTTAATCAACCTGCTTAGTAATTCAAATCCTATTTACTTTTTTTAACTTAAAAATACTTTCATCTAATTATATAACCTTTCTTTAATTACTCCTCTTTATTTTAATAATAATATAATCGAATATCCTTTATTATTAATACTTGTATATAAAATCTAATCATTTTTTATTTATATTTTTGAAATAAAAGACTTGGAGTATATTATATACTTTTTATATCTATATTAATATAATTTCTTTCAAATTGTATATATTAATATGATAATATCAAATATATTTTTAACTTATCTAGAGATTATTCTTCTTTTATTTTAAATTTTTCTTATAGTTTTTATAATTCGATAAATCTTTTAAATAATCATATTAGATTTTGGATAAGGCTTCATTTTTTTGAGTTCTTTAAATCGAATTGAACTTAAATATGCTTTTTGTAATGAATTATAGTATATTTAAATTCGAGGTAATTTATCTTTAGGAATTTTCATTAAATCTAACTTGAATAATCTTAGAGTGTTGAGAGGTGTATTAATTTTGATGAAATATATAGTTATTATCTTTGTAATTATGCTTAATACTCATTTTGAATTTGAATAGAAAATAATGAAGAGTAAAATAACAATTGAATTTTTCAAATAAGATGTAATAAATAAAATAGTTGGACTTATCTTGTCTAAGTATACGATAACTCGAGGCCTTAACTCTTATATACGTATGTATATATATATTAGGATTTATGAAAGTATATATTAATTATCTAGATACTCGATTAGTATATAAAAGAATAAAAGAATAAAAGAATAAAAGAATAAAAGAATAAAAGAATAAAAGAATAAAAGAATAAAAGAATAAATGAATAAATGAATAAATGAATAAATGAATAAATGAATAAATGAATAAATTGTTGGAAGTTGTGGCACGTGCTCTAAGCTACTGTGCATATATCACTTCCACTTCGTAGTTAGATTTTACCTTAGTACAATTAATCTACATAGTCAATAATACATGCATTCCACTGGCCTGCTCCTTTATTGTGAACAGGTTATGAGCCCGGTAGCTCTGCAGTAAGACTAAGGCCGAAAGCTCTTTGAATAGCTTACGTTGCCAAAGGAGAGGTTGACGACGAGAAGCTCCTACGCAACGCGACGTCAACATACGAGGTGCGCACAGCAAACAGATTGCTGAGCAGCGACAGCGAAGTAACCACTTACATCGCGCCTTTTCCTCAAGTAAGAAAACTACGAGTTATTACTGAAAAGACCATTCATTCCAGCTTAACGCTGAAGAGCATCACCTGCTACATAGTGTTCGATATCACTTCAAAAATCATTATCTACAAATCAAAATTCACTATTCTTAATTACCCCGCCTTGAAGAGAATTTCTCCCTTCAAACACTAGTACATCCCAATCGGGACAGCGCAGTCTTAAACAGTTCCTCTTCCACTCTTTCATTCCACCATCAATCACGCCTAGGTCATCGACGCAAGCTTTCTACTTGCAGAACCTTCAAAATGAACGAAGACACTGGATCCAAGGATTACTCCAAGCGCATCCCTCCTCTCACTCAAGAGAATCACGAACGCTGGACTCGTCAAATAAGAATTCAACTTCGAGGAAAAGGTTGGTTCTATACATGCGAAAAGACATTGCATGAATATGCACGGATTGCAGCAGCCGACAACTTAATCCAGGATTTCGAAGAACTTCAAGTCTCCAGCGGCAGCGGCAGTACCACTACAAAGATTCGACTCAATATCGACAAAAAGGCCACCTTTCTTAAGGACGACGCTAGTGCATTATCTTACATCTGTCGCTCATTATCTGACGATGATGAGGCTTTAGTGGACGAATATGATACAGCAAAGAAACTTTGGGATTATCTAGCCGTCAAATACTCCAGAATCGATGATATCGCAGCAGACGAGTACCTCCTCAAGATCAAGACCTTCTCTTTCGACGATACCCCTGATATGACTATTATAGGTGCATGGGATAAGCTCAAGGATCTTCGACGAAAGCTCTTATCTGCGGATGCTTCAGCCGGTGCTTTGTGTACAGATAAATCACTCTTTCAAAGCCTGACCTTGTCTCTCCCTGATGAGTACAAAGTCATCATTGATATGATCCGTGTCGTCAGTTCTACTCTAAGCATTGACGATAAGATCAAGCATCTACAGGTCAAAGAGGCAGAGATCCAGACCTCTGGAGACTCGGCACACCTTGCAAAAGGAAAGAAATATGTCCCACCTCATCGCCAGCGTAAGGCTAGCACAAGCTCGGAGACCGACACATCCATCATCACTTGCGAACTCTGCGACAAACCTGGCCACTCAGTCCTAAAATGCTTCCAGCTCCGTCGCGCCAAGCGTCTCTTGAAATCCGATTCAAAGCACAAACAGAAGAGAAGACAATCCACCTCTCCAGTGCGAAAAGACAAAAAACGCAGGGAGCACAAGGCTCATATCGCCGAATCAAGCTCCGATGCTACTGAAAGTGTCGTCGATAGTGAGTCTGATTCTGAGCATTGTCATCTCACCAAAGAAAGTATTAGTAAGGCATCCCCATCGCAATGGTACGCTGATACCGGCGCCACTTCACACATGTCTGACCAACGTTCTCTATTCAGAAGTCTAATTCGTACTCCGCGACGAAGGATAACGGTTGGTGGGGGAGCTATGTACTCGGATGAACGAGGAACAGTGGACATGGTGTGCAAGGATGGAACAAGGACATCATTAGCTGGTGTGCTATATGTACCTGGATTGGGGGTCAACCTGCTCTCAGCCAAGAGAATTTGTGAGGCAGGACTCAAGGGTACATTCAGTCTCAAGAAGATGTATTTCACACCAGAAAACGATAAGAATAATAAGATCATCAAAGCAACAATGAAAGATGGGATGTACATCATCTCGCATGTGAAACCAGGATACGAAGATTCTGCATTCTTTGCGCTCTCTGCAGAGATCATTGATGGTACAAAAGGGGAAGTCGAAGAATTAACCATG